ATAGCAACAGCATGTTTGATCTCCAAAAACTACAAGGGAATTAATTGCAAACATGATGAGTAGCATTAGAAATATTACAATAAACCTAAGTCATTCATTCTTTGTTCATTTTTTATCAAAGCAGTTTTAGTATAGTTATTATAAAATGTATGTTTTAAAAGGCTCATATTACACTATTTTCTCATCTATGTTATTATGTTGTTTCCTCATCAAAAACATTCCTGGAGTTGTGATTTGTTTCATTCACATATGTTTAACACACAAAAAGTGCATATTAGGAGAGAGTTTTTCTTTCAGACAGAAAACACTCTGTTCCACCTTGTGATGTCATGCATCATACACCTTCACTAGAATAATTTTAGCCCTGGAATTGTCTACAGAAAAAAAAAAAAAAGGTTAATAGGAAACTGTTAACTTGACAACTACCGCTTCATGACCTCACAAAGTGGAACAGAGCATTTTGGGATGTGGAGATGATGACTGACTAATAATGCAAGATTTGAATGAAACAAAATACAGGTATGTTTCTGATGAGGTAACAACATTCTAACATGCCTAAAAGCTCACAAGGGTCAATTTTGTGTAATATAGGACCTTTAAACTTTCCCTTTTTTGAACTTATGTAGAAGTCAAGCATTTGAGCTGAAAAGTAAAACCATCATAAGTGACATTACAGAAGATGTGGAAGCCTCAGAATAGCAGGTTTAAAAGGGCAGAGCAGGGAGCCCATATGCACAGAGAGAACCAGAGGTGAGGCCACAGGCAAAATACAGGGCAGTGAGTGTTATCTAAGTCAGGCAGTTAAGAGCATCAACAACTGTGTGCAAATATCAAATATGGGAAATTATCATATTAAAATCCATACACAATTCAGTGTAGGCTCATTTAAAAACACACAACACAATGACATGCCCTCAACCATTCTTGCCACTGCATGACATTACAAGGTAGAACAAAGCATTTTGAGATTTAGAGATGTAACCAGACTAATAATAAAGGGTTACTCAAACCCTCTCCATGAGCTTTTGGTTAATCAAAGCATGGCTTCTTCTCCATCTGCAGTCATACTGGTCCACGCTACCGACAATGTCATCACAACAAATGTCAGGTAAAGACACCAGACTCTGGGCCCATTGATCAGAGTGAGTCCATCCACAAATGCTGAGCCCCATAAGGATCCTTCCTTCATGCTACTTAACACTTGCTCCCTGAACAATAAGGCACACTTTATGTAGGACATGATAACCGAAAATAACTATGATTTCATCTGTCTGACTGAAACATGGCAGGGTCAAAATGATAATCTGAACTCTTGTCCACCTATTGTAACACTGCTCCTTCTGTTTTACCATTAGGGGATTTTAACATTCATGTAGACTCCTCCTGCCCATTTACTGCGGAGTGCAACTCTCTCCTAGAGGGGCTAACCTTCACACACCACGTTCATAGTCCAACCCATACAAAAGTTCATACTCTCAACCTAGTCTCCACCTCCGGTTTCACGCCTCAGCATCTGGAAATCAAAGACTTAACTATTTTAGACCATTTCTCCATCACATTCACTGCCCCATCACTACCCTACAAAGAGTCTAACAAAAGGATAATATCATTCCGTAACATTAACCAGGTACCAAATCCAATTTCAACAGACTTCCAAGACTTGCTGTCTTCTGTTCCACTCCAGAGCCTTCCTATAAAGCAGAGGACTTAGTCAGCCGTTCTCTCACTGCCTTGACACTTTGACTCCGCTAAAAACCTGAACAATGTCCTACCCCTCTTCCTCTCCATGGGTTACTCAGGAAATATGTACCCTTAAGTCCCATTGTAGGCAGCTTGTCTGGTCTGGTCTCACTGTCCACTTACAAGTCTACAGAGCTCAAGTCTCCTCATATAAGGAGGCCCTGAATACAGCCAAAGCAGCCCACTACTCCACCATCATCAGCAATCAACAGAACAACCCTCCCTTACTTTTCTCCACCATCAACTGACTTCTACCTCTGGTGGACATTTCCACCAGCTCTAACGCCTTGGACATGTGCTCCAAATTCCACAACTACTTCCACAATAAGATTCAGTCCATTTATAACGAACTACCAGCTATTTCCTTAGATCACTCTCCTCCACTTCCCACCCACCCATCTGACAGTTCTCTCTCCACCTTCACACCTGTTGACTCAGCCTTGGTGACAGTGCATGTGTGCCTGTCCAAAACATCCACCTTATTGCTTGACCCACTCCCCACAGCCTTGGTCAAAGCCTTCATCTCCACTCTCATTCTCATTAACACTTCTCTCACACCTGTTAAAAAAGAAGAATCTGGACACAGAAGAGCTCTCTAAGTATTGGCTGGTCTTCAACCTCCCTTGGAAAAAGCAGTGGCTACTCATCTTCCTTGACTTATCTGCTGCGTTTCACACGGCCTCCCACTCCATTCTTCTCAACCGCCTCTCTAATTACATTGGACTGACTAGTGCTGCATTTTCCTGGTTTCACACATACCTTTCCCAATGACAATTAACAATTTACAGTTCATTTCCCTCAGTGGCTCCCACTCTCTCATTCACCAAGGTGTACCGCAAGGTTCTGTGCTCAGTCCACTTCTGTTTATTATTTACATGCTCCCCCTCAGACAAATCATACGTAAACATGCACTCATCTTCCACCCACACGCCGACGATACACAGCTTTACATCTCCAACTGCCTTACCGATCTTTGGACCTGGTTATCATCCAACTTCCTCAAATTGAACAGCAATAAAACAGAGCTTTTGTGGCCACCAGACCACTGCTCCAGAAGGTCATAGATTTGGTTCTCACCATCAATGGCAATGACACCCACCCCTCCCCAACAGTCCACAACCTGGGCATCATCCTGGACTCAACCCTCCCCTTTGAATCTCACATCAAATCAATCACAAAATCTACCTTTTACCACCTCCGCAACATCTCCCTCCTCTGCTGATCTCTCCCGGACTTGGTTGCTCAAAGATTTGTACACTCATTCTTACCTCCCGCCTGGACTATTGCAACGTCTGTCCAGGATTTCCCAAAATTTTCTGAACAGGCTTGAATACATCCAACACTCTGCTGCCAGGATTCTCACTCACACCAGGCTCTGGCAACAAATCACCCCCACTCACTCACTCACTCACTCACTCACCTGCACTGGTTTTCCATAAAATACCTGATCCAGTACAAGAATCTTCTCCTCACCTACAAGTCCCTCCACACCCTGGCCCCTCAGTACCTCTCAGACCTGCTCCAAACCTACACACTCTCCAGGACACTCCACTCCTCCTTCTCCTCCTCTGCTCACCGTTTCTCACTCCAATTTGCGAACAATGGGAGACAGAACCTTCTGTGTCCAGGCCCCTGCACTCTTTAACACTCTCCCTCCACACATACAAACTGATGAAACCACTGATCAATTCAAATCACTTCTCAAAACATTTCTGTTTAATCTGTCTTTTAATCCCACCTAACCACACTTGTGTGTGTGTGTGTGTGTGTGAGTGACTGTGTGTGTTATATAGCGCTTTGGGTGTCATGAAAAGCGCTATATAAATGAAAGGTATTATTAACATGGATGAAACAGAACACAACTCCGGGTATGTTTTTGAGGAGATAACATTATAATATGTTTTAAAGCTCACCAGAGTCTTTTTTGTGTAATATATGACCTCTAACACTATATTTTGAATACTTTGAGCATTTGATGTTTCCTAAAACATCGTATCTTTTGGACACATACAAAAATAGTTTTCTTATTATTTTTCTTTACAGGGTCCTATTTTTAGCAAGAAAAGCCTCTTAGAGCATATCTCCATGTCTCATCTCCAACATCTATTTCATTGTGATCCGGTGCCATTTCCGAAGCACTCTTGTCTGGTCTCTTGTGTTGGAGTTTAAGTGGGCTTGAATTACTCTCACTGTGAGGTCCTCGACCCCAATCCCTGTCAGTCTAAATGAGAGTGGAGGTGCTTCCTGCAGGTGGTGGCTGTGGTAGACCAAAAGCAAATTAAACACTGCTGCTCAGCTCATACAAGGATCTGTTCTACACTCACTGCGGTGGGGTTCATTAAAGGTGGTTTGTTGGGGGTCCTTCACCTGCTTGTTTCTATGGATATGTCACTGCTCTGCCTGGAATGTTCCACAGTATGACATTAAATAGCTATACCTTACATTTATTCAATTACAGGTGGTTTTAGCTCAAAATTACCTAGAAAAACAGACATTCTGACTGTGAGCGTGGTTGCCTCTCCACAGATCTGACCTAAAACTTGGTCTAGTTTGGTCTCCTTGAAGGTATAAAGGTTTAATACCATAATGTGAAACATTCAAGACAAAGCAATAATCTCCTTTTGACGTGTGCACTGTGCATGTGCGCTTGTGTTTAATGAAGCTGAATAAATAATGCACTTGGACTTGTCAAGTTTGTATGTTCCAATATAAATTAGTGGCATTATTTTTATTAGATCTGCCTGGTTTTGCACTTGATTTTCTATAGTTGTTTGGTCTTGGTGTTATAATTGTAAATAATAGCTAAATTATTGTTTCCTCTCACAGTGATTGTAACACAAACTTTTTTATTATTTTTTTTATTATTTATTATTATATTGTGGCCATATACCCATTTACTCAGTCTCATCTTGGAAGATAAACAAGGGGTGGTTGGTACTTGGATGGGAGACCACTGGAATACCAGGTGCCACAGTAGGATAGCAATGACTCTAATGAGAACTGTTGTTGTGTCTTTGGGCAAGACATATCATCTAGTTTGACATCCCTCTTGTATGTGCCTTAGATTAAATAGATACTTTTTATTTATTTATTCAATAAAAATCTTTTCCCAACGTGCATCTCAAGTCCCAGGTTATCAATTGCATTCATCCTGCACTAAATGATTCCTGCGCACTCACCTGCTTCTTCCCATCGGCTTCTGTAATTGCCTCCAATTAGTTGTATGTGGAGACTAATGTGTGTTTGCTGTTTTGTTTCAGGGGGATCTCGGGAAAGAAATGTGGGACCATTATCGTGAAAGCCGAGGAGCTGAACAACTGCAGGGTGAGAAGAGCCATAGATGTGGAGATAATCAGTTGTGAGCTTTAAACCATGTTAGAATGTTGTTACCTCATCAAAAACATACCTGGAGTTATGTTTTGTTTCATTCACACATGTTTGAGTAACATTTATAGTAATTATTAGTCTGTCTACATCTTCAAAGCTCAAAATGCTCTGTTCCACCTTGTGATGTAATGAAGTTATAGTTTTCACATTAAGGGCTATCTTTTGCCTTTTGTTCAATAGAGATTGGCAAATCCAAGGCTAAAATTATCAAAATTTTTCTAGTGAAGGTGTATGGAGTTTTCTGTTTGAGAGAAGAACTCAGCCTAAATATACAGGATTTGTGTGTTAAACCTGTAGGAATGAAACAAAACACAACTCCAGGTATGTGAGTGATGAGGAAACAACATTATAACACATCAGAAAACAGTGTAAAACGGGACTTTTAAAATCCTTATTTACATTATGTCGTCTGCCTCTTCCTGTCTCTCTTGTTAGGAATCTGTCATGATGCAATTCTGTGGAAACAAACTGGACAAAAAAGATTTCTTTGGAAAATCTGACCCCTTTCTGGTTTTCTATCGGAGCAACGAGGATGGCACGTGAGTACAGGCCCACTCTCTCTCTCTCTCTTTCATCTTGGGTTAGATCCAGCCTGTGCCAGAGGAAATTGGTTTCATTGATTTGCTTCAGATCTGAGCTGCAAGGAAGAGGAGCAACTGTGGGAATCACATAGAGATGTTTGTACAGGAGGGATAGGGCTCATATTAAAGGTGCACTATGTAATGTTTCAGTGGGTATTCTGCCATCTGCTCATCTCCATGGAGATGTTACTGCTTTGCCAAGAATGTTTCACCATATAACGTTTAACTTATCTATCTCTATGGAGACAAGCTGTCAAGCTTCCAAGTTACAAGTCAGATCTGTGAAGAGGCGACTCCACTCACAGTAAGAATGCATGTTTGTTAGCAACAAAAACACCTGTAATTGAGTGAATGCAAAATAAACAAGGTTAATGCCAGACAGTGGAACATTCCTAGCCAGGCTGGCATCACCTAGTGCCTCCGCTCAATTTAATTTCTCTCCAGTGACTAGGTCAGAAATCAGAATACATGAGACGATTTGCAAGAACCCCGGAAGTTGTAAACCGCGTACCTGCCAATGATCGAAGAGCTGTGAAGCCATGGGACCCTGTCTGAGTCCCTTTCTGTGGTACAGCACAACAGTAAACAAAGCAGTCGAGATGGATGTAGATGAAACCATATATTCTGTGTTGGCAAAGATTCACGAGATCAAGGATTTAAAGCTGGAACAAAGAGAATGTTTGGTGAATTTTATCAAGGGGAAAGACATTATTACCCTTCTTCCTATGGGATTTGGTGCGTTACATACGTCACGACCAAATAGCAGCGATTGGTTAAATGAAAAAATACCTGCCTATCGTCAAGCGAACAAATCCTAATGCTGTGAGGTCAGACGGTTTCAATGAAGTGAAGCCGGCTGATGAATCAGGCTAGAACATTCCAGGTATAGGAATAAAATCTTAATGGAGACAAATAAGTGGCAAACTCTCCACTAGAAAAATTACATAATGCACCTTTAGTGTTTCTGCAACACTGGAAGATACATTATTAAGATTACTGTTATGTTGAGAGAAATTTAGAAAAAACATTACTGCAAAATATCCATACTTATTTCATTTTTTCTCTCAGTCCTAGATGTAAGGAGATTTGAATGATTTTTGGTGTATGTGACTGTTTTCACATTATTTGGAAATTGTATAAGCTCATTGGCACAATGTATTTATTGGCGTTATTTCATACAGTAGCATTTATAAGAGATATATCATACATATGCAGATAATGTTTTCATAAAAAAATAAAAAAATAAATAAATAAAATAAATATAATTACAATAACTTACAATAACATCTTTATAATTTTAATAGAGGCATGATTCACTTCTTAAAATGAGAAATCATAAAACATGATTTAGCTTTTAATGCAAAAGTGGGAGTTTGTTTGTTTCAGAAGAAAAACGTGTTCAGTTTCCAAGGACAACAGGGATGAATCATTAGACTTTGAAAACTCTCTTTCTTTTTATTTTCATTTGATAATTTTATTTTTATTTGATTACATACATAGAGATTTATGTGTACTTTTATTATTATTATTTTTCTTTACAATATTCATTAAGGTCTTGTTTAGAAAAGGGAAAGATGGAAAACTGAAACAAAATTAAAATCGTACTGCATAATTTAGACAATTTGCATAAATTCTTTTGTTAGCTGTTTATGGAGTGTGCTGGGTGAAGCTAGTATTAACTTTTAACACCATTTTTGATCTAAGACTATTTCAGAGATAGTTATTATTCATTTGTTTTCCCCCCTCCCCTGGTCTAATCTTCTGTTTTTACTCTTCATCTGGCAGGTTTACCATTTGCCATAAGACAGAGGTGATAAAGAACACACTGAACCCAGTGTGGCAGGCCTTTAAGATCCCAGTGAGAGCGCTGTGCAACGGAGACTACGACAGGTCAGTCACTCGTACATGTCCTAAAACAACTTAAATAACCTAGCAACTGTTGCCACGTTTGAAACAAGTGTGCAAAATGTCCATTGTGATGCCTTAGCTAAAACTATGTTAAAAAAGGAAATGAAAGAATAGTTTTCATATAGTGTCAGGGCACTTTTGAATGAATGCTAACTTTAGTATTTAGTAGAAATTGGTCCACTGAAAAAGCTTATAGGGCATATACCTTATACAATACAAGAAATGCCCCATTGTGTTTTTAAACTCCATATACCTTCACTAGAATGTAGATGATTTTAGCCCTGGAATTGCCAATCTCTACTGAACAAAAAGTAGATGTTAACTTGCAAACTACCACCACATGACATCACAAGGTGGAAAAGAACAAGCTGAGCTTTGGAGACAAATTAATAAACCGAATTTATTAAAAAATCTGTGAATGAAGGAAAAAAACACAACTCCAGGTATGCTTTTGATGAGGTAACAACATTATAACATGGCTTAAATTTCACAACAATCCATTTTCTGTAATTTATTGTTTACATTTTGGAAAACTAGAAACTGCAATTTCCCCAAACATGTTAAGGATAGACTATGATTGCCATGAAAGTACATATTGTCCATAGTTACAAGTCATAGTAAATCAATGTCTGCTTCAAAATATATGCCAATTACACAAAAAAGGAACAAGAAAGCTTTATTCTAATGTCAAAATTTGTTATTACTTTCTCAATATGCTGTGATTATAAACAGCATTTCAAACTTCTATTAATTTCTCTCAAATGAATGAAATGTGGTAATTTGCCCATGAAAGATATTTGAGTAAATTTAATTATAAGTTTTATATATCTATATATAATTTTGTTCAGTATTCACTTAACACACCACTTTTTAGAAAAACAGATGAGGCATAGCTACTATTAGACCAAATGTATGGTAGAAAAATAAATGTTTTTCAGCTCCTGGCATCCATTGCTGTCAACTCTGCAGCTGAAACTTTGGCCTAAATGTTTGTGTAAATGTAAACAGTTTGTTGACATGTATCCGGCGAAAGTTTACTTCTGGGTGGCCAAAAGTTGTTATAAGTTTTGATGTTTGTCTTTAGTTTACAGCATAGTACAAGCTGTAGAAAGGTAGCGATATTATTATTGTGAGTGCACAAATTGTACAGAAACATTTAGTTATAATTATTGTAATGTTAAAGGTGCACTGTGTAGCTTTTTGGTTGCAGTTCCGTCACCTGCTTGTTTCTATGGATATGTCATTGCTCTCCCTGGCATGGCATTAAAAAGCTCTACCTTACATTTATTCCATTACATTTGTGTTTATAGCTCAAAAATACCTTGAGAAACATGCATTCTGACTGTGAAACATTATAGACAAAGTGATAACATCTCCATGGAGGAAAGTATTTAATGGACCCTCCACCAGAAAAGTTACACAATGCACCTTTACTTTGACACAAGTTGCCATGACAGTAATGTGTGACAACAGCACCGACAACCAAATTTGCAATAAATGATTGTACATGCACTGTGTTCTTAAGTTTTAAAAGTTGATGTCCTTAGTAACTCACAAATCACTAACAAAAATATTGTTATGAGGGTTTAAACTTTGTTGCACATTTTGAATCTCTGAATTATATAGTATAATTAATGTATTTACCACATCACCCTAATCTGCAAATACTACTTGTAGACCTATGGCAGACCTGGGGATTGTACAGCTCCTGGGTCACATACGGCCCTTTCTTTGACTTTGATCGGCCTGTTTAAGATAATTTGGAATTACAAAATAAACTTATGTTATAATTTTACCTCATGCAGGGACTAAAGCTGCATTGCTTTTATTTTAGAGTTTTTTTTTTAAATGACATTTTTTGTTCGGCAGCCTCACTTTTTCATTGCTTAGTCATAACATAAACTCTTATCAGTCTTATCTGCTTGTCAAAACAATGCTATTTACTGCTTTTTATAAAGAAATACAATTGATATTATGCAGAACTGAGCTAAGCATTTTGTCCCGGCCCTCCACAATATTTTCTGTTTCTCACGTGGTCCCATGGAAAAATAATTGCCCACCCCTGGTCTATAGTATTGTTATTTGTTGACTTCGACTACATAAAATTGTATATATGAGTTAAACTACATAGTAATCTGTAGAGATTAAGTACTATAGTGTGCGTTTAACTTTGTAGTGGAGTAGAGAACAATTTTTTGTCTTTTTATTTCCCTTTTAATATTTTATTGCCATCATAAATGTTTTGTAATATGAGCTTTTATACACTATATTAAACGGTCGATCATTTAGGAAATAGAAGTAGCAGACGACAGCAGACAGTAATGGTGATTCGTTTTTTAAGTAGAAAGATTATGCCTGTCTTTAAAGTGATTCATGAGAGAAGTTTTGCCTGAGGGATCTAGAAAGTTTCTTTTAAATGAATGTAGCTGTCCATGGTGCTGAAGTGCTATTAACGATCCAACTAAGTTGCTTTTCTTGTTGTTTTACACTTACTTGATATATGCGATACTACTACTACTACTATTATTATATCTTCATTCTGCATAGTTATATGGTTATTATTAATTATATCTGATTAGAAACATTCTGAACCAGTGTAACAGTGTCCAGTGTAATGGACTCACTACATCACAAGTAGGTTCTCATAACATTCAAAAGTTCTTTTCATTTGCCAAGACAAACTGTAGACTTGGTTCACAGGTACAGTCCATCACCATGCACATGCTACTGCTTTACCTAGAATGTATGCTATCAAGAGTTTTTATTGCTCAAACATACATTTAAACACATACATTATTTCTCTGAGCAGGGTCCCATCTCCACAGAACTTATCTGTAACTTGTCCGGGTGATGTTTTCTAGTTGTCTCTATGAATACACAAATGTAATTAATTATTTGGCTCATTCCATGCCACAAGCAGGTAGTGGACCCTCCAACAGAAAACTTATATATTTCTTTATATCACTTTGCATAATTTCAGCTTGATTATGAGGTGAAATATTGGGAACTGGCTTATGTTCAAATTAGGGGCACCTTCAAATTACCAAAGAAAAGTTAAGGTTAAGGTTAAGGTTAAGGTTAAGGAAAACATTATTAGCCTCTAGCCTTTGTTAAATGGCACTGGCTGAAATAAAACCACCTATTTCATCACACAGCTCTAGCCACACTCTCAGTAGTACACAGCATTTAGAAAGAAAAAAAAAAGTGACTGTTTGCTACAGGTGTTCCAATCAGTGAAAACAGATAGAGGGTGCTTTTGGAAAAAACATGGATCAAAACTTTGAAAAATCAAAATCCAGGCACTCCAGAAAAAGTAAAAGTTTCACAAAGAAAAGTATTGTTAAAAGATGTTATTTGAATAGCGAAAGCCAACATGTTTTGACCCCTCTTTATAAGGGCTTAGTTAGAATCATAGCTTTTGACATTTTGGTTTTATAAGAGGAAATACCAGCAGCCCCGTGTATCAAAGTGTGTTTCCCTCCTGGATGTAATGTCGATAGCAGTCATGTGGTGCTCTCCCAGGCTAAAGCAGTAATCTGAAGTTCGCTCTCATAAGCTTATTAGGAGAGGAGAATCACACTGTCTTATCAATAGGAGACATGCACACACACAAGTATCTGTGTGTCTGGGACGGGAGATAAGCAGGAGCTCTGTTGGCCACCAAACAAAAGGAAACCACGTCTTTACTGTCAGTGCAGGGCTCAGTCCAGCAACAAGCAGTGAGGACAGCAGATTAGACCAATCATTGTGGGGCTCCTGTCTCTCCTTCAAAGCAATGAGTAATGGCGGACATCCAATTTAGGCAGACAGTACAATATGGACGCCTACACAAAATACATCTACGAGCTTTCTGAGGAGAAGGGGATTGATTACGGCGTGTGTTAATTGGTAATTGTGTGTATGTGTGTGTTTTTAGTTCCTTACCTCTCCTTTGCCAATTCTATTCCCTAATCAATATATGATGCTATAAGACACATATACACACACACACACACACGCACACCCACACACACACACTCCCAGACACACAGACACACACACACACACACACACACACACACACACACACAGACACACACATTTAAAAGAGAACTATGTAATTGTTCTGATAGAGTTTCTCCACTTGATTTCATTACCTGGAATGTTTGGAATTAAGCAAATCTCTATAGGGATAGGAAATTAACACTACCAGGTAGGGATGTAGTGATATCCAAATTAGGGCCTGACCGATGTATCGGCTGACCAATATTATCGGCTGATATGGACACCTGGAAACATATCGGTGATCGGCCTAAATCTTGCTAATATGGGTCGATATTTCACGTGGGCATGTTATACCTCGTTATAAATCTTAAATACATTATGTTCATTTAATCCAATTTACAGACAGATAAATGTCCTAATATGTGGCTCCGCATCAGTATGTATCTGCGGAGTCATCTGTCTGTGTGTGTCCGTACTGTCCCTGAACACACCCCTAGAGTCACGTCACTCACATGCATTTATTTACACCCGCAGCCGTGAGCAACACTGAGATTATATTCTTTTTACGGACAATCGGTTTGAGTCTGGATTAAAAGGACATTTATTAGTGTAGACTTGTGATGTGAGGAGGAGCCTGTGTGAACGCTGAGTGTTGGAAATGTATCGGTTTTAAAGCTAGCTTTGGTTATTTCTCGTTGGTTAATGATTAGCTGTTGTAGCCCCCCACATAAACAGGCTGTTTTCTCTTCTATTGGTCTATTGTAAAGTCACTATATTGGCCGTATATTTGTTACTGGACCGGCATTGATATGCAAATGAGTTGATATAGTTAATTAATGTGACGCACACGCATTTACAGCTAAAGGCTAATAGCGGTAGTTTACTTTCTTTACTAGCTAGTAGTGATGGGTCGGTTGAGAACGAAACGGCTTTTAGAGCCGGCTATTTGATGCAAATGACCTTATTGGGAGCCGTGTTTTCTCTTTCTCTCACTTTTTTTCTCTTCACGCCGCGTGTTGTACAGCGGGCAGCGGCTGAAAACGAAACTTTCAGAAATCTGCGTGTGCATAGGGTAAAAAAATGTGCATATTTGTCTGTAGTTCAGCATAAAATAAATAAACCAGGGCTAATCTGGGGCTCGAGAAAAGGAGAGAGATAGAGACCATGTCCCGACACCCAGTCCTGGTTCAGTTCTGGTTTAGTCCTGTTTTACACATGGTTTAGTCCTGGTTTAGTCCTGCTTGCAACATAACAATCTGAAGAGTCGCTTGGGAGCCAAAAGAGCTGACTGCTTTTAGTGAGCCGAGCCAAAAGAGCCGGTTCTCTAAAAAGAACTGGAATACCCATCACTAGGGCTAGAATGTGATGCAAAAATGCCATTAGGCCAACCTACTGTCTGTAAATATGACAAAAAGAGGCAGAATAACAATAAATGTTGCCTAAATAAACCCAATTTAAAATCCACCAGAGCCAAACCTAAGTTTTTTAAACAATTCAAGATTTACAGTGAATTTTTACATCACTAAATACATCGGCAATTATATCGGCTATCGGCAGCTCCAGCTCCCATTTTACTGCCATCATATCGGCCAAAACAAAATCCATATCAGTCGGGCCCTAATCCGAATCTCACGGTACGATATTTTCACGATATACATCTTATGGTATGAAATTTTTTGCGATATTGTGTGGAGGCCAACAAAATGTGAATATGCAATTTTTTCCTCTTAAAATGCCTTGACAAGACTTAATTCAAAGAACTAAGAACTGCTATTTTTTCATGTAGTTTGCAGCAAAACAGAGCAAAGGATCATGGTCGATGTAGTTCCCTCTGTTTTATTGTTGCACCATAACAACGAATTTAAGCAAAGAAACTTGTGATTCGATATATTGTGACAGTGCACGATATTATTGTGAGACTTTTGATGATACAACATCACGATATTTTGGTTATTGTTACATCCCTACCCCCAGGTCAAGTTACAGGCTAGATCTGTCGACATGCAAGCCAGCTCACACTAATAACTAATAAAAGCATGTTTTTCAAGGTATTTTTTGCACTTGTAAACATGTAATTCAATAAATGCAAGATGGATACGTTTTATGCCTCAATATGGGATCCCATGCAAAGCAATAACATCTCCATGGAGACAAGCAGTTGGCAGGCCTTCAAACATAAATGTCAATCATCTTATATCATACACTTCCTTTATATTTGTCTCCTGATCATTTCGATTTTTGACCTTGACATGGAGTGGTATTCTTTGCTGTCTTTTTCTCTTGCAATGATTCTTACAGTTTTTATGTTCTTCTGGATCCTCTTCACAGTCCCCTACTTGTTCCCATCTTCTACTGTGCAGTGTCTGTGCCCAGTGGTTGCCCCTCCTTTCACCTCATGTCTGGGCTTTTGTCACACACAAATGACCCTGTGGTGAAGGTTTTTAAGCTGGACTGATCTGACACATTCTACATTGTGCTCTGTTTCCTTGTCCGCTATAATGGGATGCAGGAGAAGCGATGTATTTGGAGATGAGAAAACGTATTACCTGGCGGGTTCAGTGATAGACGACAGAGCTATACAGATAAGCAACAAAATGCACCAGCGGTCAGAGGCATCACAACAACTAGCATTTCAGCAGCAACTTTTAAACTGAGAATTTTATATAATGTAGAAAGATACAAAAGTAAAACAAGTATTTGAAATGCAAATTACAGAAATCGTATTCATTTCAGTAGAAACTGCTGCTATGTTGACACCTATCGGTCTATTTGGGACAAAAGAATAGCAAAAGTTAGTGATCCAACATGATTTGATGTTGATTTTCTCCAAATGATGTCATTTAAATTTATTAGAAACCCCCAAATTCCTTTTTTCTATAAACATGTGTTCAAGTGTTCAAATGACGCTGAAAGTGTATTTTTTAGGCAGCGGGTCAACCAAAATCAAATATCAGCTTTAACTGCCGATACACAGGTTACATATCGGCCTGATATATCGGTGGACCGATAGGTCTAGCTCTATTTTTTATAATGCCACCACAAATATTGCTATCATGGCTTCATTTGTCACTGCATTACTTCTTCAATGAAAAGTATCACGTCAAAGAGAAACCTACTGAGTTTAATATTTGGAAAAGATGGGGAAAAAAAAATTGTGATAGTCTGTGTATTATTTTGTCTATAAAATAAAGTTATTTATTTAATAGTTTTCTTTTGCTATTATAGAGCAGTATGCAATCTCTAATATATGACTAATGTTTGGTCTGGCAGTCCTGGACAATCATCTATTGTGTTTCCCTTCTGTGATTATAATTTGAGCTTGAGACGGTCTGTGAAGATGACAAAATGTGCAGACAAATGCTTCTAATTTGACCTGATTTCACTGATTATGTTGTTTTTCTTTTTTCCAACAGAACAATCAAAGTGGAGGTGTACGACTGGGACAGAGACGGCAGGTATGCTAACATTTCCTGTATTCATCTTTGGAACGTATATGGAACAAATTCAAAGCAGAATTCCTAACATAATTGTCATTTTTTAGTCAAATTAACAGGACTGTTCCATTGTAATTATTCATGCTTTCACAACTCCACTGTTTAATTGATGAATACACACAGTAAACAAAGAGGTCTTTCTGACAGATGGCTGCGTTTATAAAAATCTGTCAGGAATTTTTTGTAACTGTGGATGTGAAGATTTATTTAACGATATTTAGAATGTTTTGAATAAAAGTCACTCTCTGTGTTGCAAAGGCAAATTGTTGGGTTTCAGATGACACCATTACATTCCATAGGCCAATATTATATACCAAAAAAGGCAGCGAAAATGTATGTTGTTGTTAAAATTTATATATATTTTTTGTTGTAATACCATAACTTCATGGATTTGGACAAATCACAAATTTAAACCATCAGTTATTTTTGTTTCCTTTTTTAATACATTTAGTAATTTATATTGTTTTGCTTAACACTTTTTTTCATTATTTATTTTTGCGTGGCTGTGCAGAGCCTATAAATACGGCTGTCTGTCTGTGGCGCTCTCTTTGCTCTGTTCCTCTGCTACATAAGCGTTGCTCCACCAAGCCCCGCTCACCTTACACGCACTGATTGTAGCCTTGCCCCAGTCAGACAGGGGCAGGTGGGGGCAGCTATGTAGATTTTGTTAGCTGTTGGCCTTTTGTTTTGACCTGGTGAGACTGGCTGTCTTGGTTTCACTTTTCCTTTGGGTTCAGGTTTGTTGGGTTTTTGGTCTTAAGTTATTGGTGCTGGCCATTGGCTTCTACGGCCCTGTAAGGGGTTGACCTGGTGTCGCACGTTTTTGTTCTGTTTGACTGGCTCATCAGGTCCACCTTTCTGCTCATTACTTTTCATTATTTTGGGGGGGGGGGCATGGGATGGTTTTGAAATTTCTTTAAAACCATTAAAAAGGAAGAACAAACAAGGAAATAAGAAATTGAAAGCTAACTCTTAACTCCTGTGTCCCTTTAAATATGTTACCCTTCAGGTTGTAACATCAGGTTCAAAATATATAAATTTACCTTTTGATTATTTTATGGTAAAATACAATGTTGAGTAGGAAATGAAAAGGAATGGATAGAAAAAACTGATGCCTTCCATCTGAAAGTATGACATTGCCACATTCTCGAATCTGAAAAGTACCAATAATGATATTAATACCACCAATACCTCCAGTACCACCTGTACACAGGGAACCCCAACATCATAACAAGCCACTCTTATAAGGAAAAACAGTGTAGTTTGGATATCTTTTCTAAAAAACCCTGGGGACTCCTTGAGGATAATGGTCATGATTTAGCAAGTAACTGAAGGCATAGATAGCGATCCTTTTTTAGAACACAGTGCTATGTGGCCAAAAAGTTTATTTTAAAGAACTGGAAAGGCTCTGCTCCCCTTAGTCAGACTAACTGGATTAACAAACTGCACTCCAGAAAAGATCTATCCCTCTGTGCGGGGGGAGCAGCAGAACTTTGAACTAATTTGGACACCCTTCTTAAACATTTTGGTGAGGTTGGACGCTGGGGTGTAGAGAGAGAGAGGAGTGTGGAAGAATTTTTTGATACATTTTTGTTCTTGTTTTATATAATGTTAAAAATAAAACACAGTGCTACATGCTGTGTTTCTAATCTTTCTTCAAAAATTGCAACTGGACTGATGTGAATTATTTATCATAAGTACTAACCCACCAAACAAAGTAATAATTAGAGAAACATATGGACTTTAAATAAACTCTAGTATTTCCTGAACTTTGGCTGTAATAACCCCAGCTTGTATCTGCAGTAGGTAAGAAGCTGGAGCTGTGTTTATTGGTGTGTCTGGATCACGACTGCCTCACAAGAGAAAAGAGACATTTGTCAAACAGTAGTGGAGGGGAGTGATTCTTCTGTCTATCTAAACTTTATCTAAACAGACCCATCCACTTTCACTGTGTCGCTGCTTCACTGTGCTAAACACAACTGACATTCAGAGGAAATGGGACTCACAAATTCATATTAACTAAATGGATTGGGAAAACTAAAGGGAGATTACCCTTTTAATGCACTAATATTGGAAAAAAAAAATTCTTTTAAAATCTTTTTTAATTCAATTACATTTTTTAATCACATTTTGGTTTTGGCTAGCGATATTTGATCTCTGGGTGGGCATTCCAGGTGATAGCATGTTGAATAACTAACTGAATGAAACTGCAAACTGTTGTGTTTTGTTAAATAACTCATGTTCTGATTCATGTTGCAGTCATGACTTCATTGGAGAGTTCAGCACCAGCTACAGAGAGCTCTCCAGAGGCCAGAGCCAGTTCAATGTGTATGAGGTGAGTATATTTTATTGTTTGTATGTATGTATGTATGTATGTATGTATGTATGTATGTATGTATGTATGTATGTAGGGTGTGTGTGTGTGTGTGTGTGTGTGTGTGTGTGTGTGCGTGCGTGTGTGTGTGAGAGAGAGAGAGATACTTTATTGATCCCAAGGGAAAGTCAAGCACTTCTCAGTTTCCTATGTCTGTCAGTCAAAGGTCTCAGTGCAGTTTAACGGGAGGACTGGTCAGGGAGGATCAGCAGGTCTGTGTCAGGGCAGTTTGAGGAGAGGAAGGGCCAAACGTGTCCCTCCTCTGTGTCTTTGAGCATCACAACAGTGTCCAGGGGGAACGAGGTGAACACAATAGGAAAGGCCTCACTCTTTCTCTGCTCTAGTGTTTCAGTTGGTGATGAAATGGTTCATTCTCTCAAAGTGTTTCCTCTGAAAATCTTGGAGAATTTCCTCTGGAAGTTCTTCTGCCACATTTACTGTCACATGTGGAGTAAAAAGCCTGTAGCATCTCAAATGTTCTTGATCCTTAAGTAGCCAAGTGCTCAATGTAACATTTCTGGTAGATGGTCCGAGATGTTATTGCTTTGGATGGCCACAGTATCTTAAACTTTTATCTTAAAATTGTTTATTCATTAAATTTATATAACCAAAAATACTTGGTTTGGAGCAGCCACCTGCTTGTTTCCAAGGAGAGTGCTCAATTTGTGTAACAAATTGTTGGTGGAGATTAGAATGTTTTAGACTACCTGAAATACATAGTGCATATCACCCATTTAAAGTCACAACTTAAAAGCCTTCTCTCACTCAATACAGAAAATTGTATTAACCATCAGCCCTTAACTCTAAACTACACACATTAAGTTTAATTTATTTTCAGGAAATACATGAGACAGCCCTGTTGAGCCTGGGGCAAAGCAAAGTTAAAGTGTGTACAGTCATTGCAGATGTAGTTTGTCATGACAGATGGTTGTTCAGTTGTAAACGCAGACACAAAACCATTCTAATGCGTTCTTTTACCGCAGGCCTGTTCGGGTCAAATAACCACAGTAATCTGTTATATGACTTTTGTTATATTTATGTGGAGAGAAAAAGAGGCAAAAACAGAATGTGAATGCATTCAATAAATGAATAAAACAAAACCCAACTCCAGGTATGTTTGTGATGAGAAAATCGTTTTAACAGAGATTAGAGAATAGTGCAATAAGGGCACTTTAAAGTCTAATAATTTTAAAGTAAATCAAATACACTAGAAGGATAAAACATATCAATTTTGCCCTTCGCTTGGAGCAACCTAAAAACAAACAAAAAAAACATTGTCTATATTCATGAAGATGTAGTAGTCACTGTTCATTTGACATGACCTTTTCAGAAACAATGTGTCTGCTATGTTTCATTTGCACATTGAATAAAACAGTCTATTATAAGGTCATAACAAAATCACTAACAATCATTATTATTCTGCTGTGGCATTTGGAAATAATTTTGATTACGCCATAAAAACAATATTACCTCCAGTTTTTCTTGTCTGTTTCCTCCCTGTGCTCTGACAGTTTTGATGGATAGGACTTCTCTCTCCAGAGTCAACATGTCTTGATTAGCCCAGCGCCGCTCCGAGACGTGAGCTTCAGGGACCTCCGTTTAAACTGCCGCTGTTTGCCTAATAACGCTCAGAAGACACACACTCATAATACTACTCTGAGAGAAATTTAGACATTTTTAGAGCACTCAAACCTCACATGCTGGACAGTATGGGATACACACACATGCATCAAAACACAATCAAAACAAAAAAAAAGTAGTGATGACGAGGGAACAAAAATGTTTGTAAAAGTTTCTTAAAGTTGATTTTATATATTTTTCACCTCAAAAGTTCAAGTTAATTTTCTGTCATATACTAAAAGCGAGTCTCAAGTCCCAAATCATTTAAAACCAGCAGGATCTAAGAATAGTTATCTTAGCTGAGTTCACACAGTGGACACTCCTGTGAATTCAAAAGCCAGTTAATTATAACATATACAGAAAGGTGAGGGTTGGAACATTTATTTTAGCCTTATATCACAATGCAGTGGGATGTTGATTTGTTTATTTATATGGATCCTTTTAGGCAGAACCATCAGCTAGTCTTTCTGTGATGTCATTCATGTTATAGTGGTAGAATGACTTAAATTAGCTCTTAAATTTAATGCCTATGATCAATTTGTCCATTTCAAGAGAAGACTTGAGGGGTTATAAGAGTAGGTCTGAGGGTTGCATTTAGCCGCTGGGCTTTAGCTTGAACACCCTTGAGTTACACAAGGGTGTCTAATTTCAATTCAGTCACTTTATGTATTCCTGAGGGGCAATTAGAAGGCATAATAAAAGGTGTACATTAAATCAATCAATTATAACTCATGTTAAAGTGCTGATATGTTCCAGTGCTGGGGAAGGGAGGGGTCAGAGGTGAGGAGCTGGACAACTGAAGGAACAATCCGTCATATGGCGTTAAAGTTATTAAATCTATTTCCATGGAGACAAGCAGGTTATCTCACCAAGCCAAGTTAAGGGTATAAAAGTATCTTTACCAATTAAAACACACACAATTGGATAAACGCAGGTAGATAGTTTAATGCCCTGCCGTGGGTTAAGTTACAAAGTGCATCTTTAAATCTGAATCCAGGATTTTGTGACGAAATGTTTTATCAGACTTTGGCTAGAGCGATGCCAAAACTGAGAGGAAACAAACAAAGGAAACAAATTGCTAGTAGCTAGTATCAGTCCACTTGTACTAAATAATATGCCTGACTCTTGACATTTCCCTGCACCACATTCACAGAGAGGGTGGGTTGATGGGAAGCCCCCTGTCTGAGTGGTTTTGAAAAGTTCCCATCTTACAATCAATGCACCACCAGCTCTGCATGCTGCGCTGTCCTTGTCAGGCCACCCCAATGTGAACCAAGGTGAAATGCATAAAGCCCACCATTTGTATGTTGTTTCCCGAGGGTTCCTGCTACCACTTTAACCTTGGCATAGTTTAATTTAGACCTTAAAGCCTCCATTTAAAGCTGTTTGAGATTGAAGGAGAGTTTAGTGCAGAGACAGCTATTATAATATGTCTTTTTAGATGTGATTAGATTGTACGGATGTCCTTGGGTCTTTATAGTGCATACCTTGTGAGGGACGACTCAAAAGTAGGTTGCAAGCATTATTGTAATAATTTAATGAAAAGGGAAAAAATGCATATTGTGTAATGTGAACACAATGGTCTGTGCTCCTCTTTGGATTTAGGTTGTGGGTTCAATTCTCAGGGTAGTGTTTCCCTTGGTCCTTAAGTGTTGAAATGTAAGAATGTAATAAGGGTGGGAGTTGGACAAGACATAAATCTCATAAGACTGCATAAGACAAGGGTTTTCAATCTGTCAATTAAGTCTACATTTTTGTCCTCCTTTGGTTTAAGCCTTGTTTAGAACTACCATATATAGCATGTGGTGTTCTTTTTACTCCTGTTTTAGCCCTATTTTAGACCTAGAATAGTTCTTTTTTAAGCCTTGTTTAGATCTGGTGTTGCTTGGTGGGAAAAGTTTGAGAACCATTGGTATAAGAAGCAATAAAAGGCCACGAGAACAAAACAAAAGATGACATTTAGACATAATTATATAAATATTTTGTTCATTTGTTTTTTCTGTGGCTTGTGCTTTTTATATCATAGTATTCTTTTTTTTATTTTAGTAAAAGCGTTGAACAAAACTGTAATAAAGAAATTAGAGTAACTCTGATATTGATCTGTCTCTCCTGGTCCCAAGATTCCTATTATACTATCTGAACTAGGTCTGCAGCAATTAATCAGAATAATTGTGACTAATATAATATTATAATCACTGACTATTTTACTAATCATTAGCTGGACTCTACAGAACTTATACCAAAAGATGCTTTAATCACAAAGACAGAGGCATTAAAATGAAATGACACAAAACAATGATCAGTTTGCCATTTTTATTAATAATACAATTTATCCACAAATATTGTCTATACAACAGTCGGATTATTTTGACATTAATCTGGTTTAAAGGTGCACTGTGTAACTTTTTGGTTGGAGGTCCTTCACCTGCTTGTTTCTATGGATATGTCATTGATCTGCCTGGAATGTTCCACAGTATGACATTAAACAGCTCTGCCTTACATGTATTCAGTCACAGGTGTTTGTTTTTTTTTAAATACTTTTTTTAAAAAGGCATTGTGACAGAGAGTGGGGTTGTCTCTCCACAGATCTGACCTGTACCTTGGTGTGTTCATGCACGGAGAAAAGCATTTGATGGACCCATAGCCAGAAATGTTACACAATACATCTTTAAAATATGGAAAAAAAAAAAGAAAAGAAAAAAAAAAGATACTTAAATTATTTAGTTGCAAAAATTTGCATCAGATTACCTAACCTTAACAGACCTCCCCCTGTGGCCATTTGCATATCCAGTTATTTAATCTAGAGACAAGACAACAGATGACCTCATTGTTTTGGTGTAATGGTCTACACATTGTTCTGTTCCCATGAGCACTGAAGCGTGCCTGAATCCAAATTTGCATAAAAATTGATCTAATACCCATTTTACCTGTCTGCATTTTAAATACCAGGAGGACCACGTCAATATGCTCTTCGAATGCCAATGCAAAAAAGTACAAATGACTGCTCTTTTTTTGTAGGTGGTAAATCCGAAGAAGAAAGGAAAGAAGAAAAAATACCTCAACTCTGGAACGGTGAATAAGCACTTAAACTTTCTAAGGCAAAGTTCATATTGTTTTTCAAAGGTGGATAGAATAATTTTTGTCTGTTTGATCTTGTTTGGTCTTGGTTATGGTTGTCAAAAAGCACTAAAACTTGAAATGAAACTTAAAAAATGAAAAACATTATGCAGACAGCATAGACAGTAATGCAAAAAGTGCTCTACTGTGTTTTTAAAATCCATACACCTTCTCTAGAATCTGAAACTGCCTGTCTCTACTGAACTAAAGGCAAAAGGTAGCGCCTTAAAAGCATTTTTGATCTTTTGAGGAGATGCAGACAAAATAACACAGCTCCAGGGATGTTTTTGATGAGGTAACAACATTTTAACACGGCTTAAAGATCAGAATAATGCATTTTGTGTAATACAGAGCTTTTAAAATACATATAACAGGTTAGAACAACACTGTATGAAATCACTCCAGCATGTGGTTGTCTCAGCAATAGTATCTCTCATCAAAACAAGCCACTATGTCACTTTCTGATGGAGGATCTGCCACCTGCTTGTCTCTATGGAGATGTTATTGACGTGCTGGTTAGAATGTATGTATATTTTAGCAATAAAACACAGTTATTGTATACATGCAAGATAGCTTTGTTTAAAACTACACTTTGGAACATTGCAGGCAAAATAATAACAGGTGGAAAGTTACATAGTCCACCTTTAATACCCTCTGGTTACTCGTAAAATGAAGTACGCCAGTCATAAGGGATTTTATAATGATTAGACTATATAAATGTTGTCTGGTGTTTATTACTTTTAATGAATAGCTGCTAGGCACAAAATACATAAAACGCACATAGATTTTATATAATGTTATTTGACAAACAGACTCTTATGTGTTCCTTTGGCTCCAGGTGACGCTGCTGTCCTTCCTAGTGGACATGGAGGTGACCTTCTTGGACTACATCAAAGGCGGGTGGGTCATGTGCTCTGTTTCATTACACCCCCACAGAGAGAGAGAGGGTCTGTGATGGTTAATGAGGAGGGCCATGCTGAGTGTCTGTCCTTCTGTCTGTCTGTGTGTGGTCATAATAACCCCACTGTGACTTCACTAAGATAATGATCCACTCTGTGAACCTTGTAGACCAGAGTAGATTTGCTTTTAGGGCCACTGCTACATCCAAATACGACAACATAATCTATATTCTTATTATATTAGGGATGGAAGTGTTGTTAAACTTAATATTACTAATAATCATTACAGTGATACAGTTGATAGATGATTTGGTTAATCAATAATTGTGATTACTGAGTTCACAAATTAATCATGAGAACTAGAGATAAAATGACAATTTTAGAAGCAGTTTTTTTCTGAAGTCATTTTAGTTCATTTTAGATTCCAAAAAAGTAAACGTAACCTACCATTCTCTTGATCATTCAGGATGTTTTTTTTTCATGGTCTGGTCCCTTGAGGTGTTACGACTTATCAAACTTTACAAATGAAACTGAACTAATGAATTCACTGCAGTTTGGAGAATAATCATGACACAAAGATTTGAAATCGTGACATCCTGCACTATGGTTTATGAGGCTTCTGTTTTATTTATATATTTTTATCTATTCATTTGACAGAGGCAGTGTACATTAATTAACATTTCTGTAAGTGCACTGGATTTAGCCAAAGGCTAATTTTCACCCTTACTCCCTTGACAGATGTTACATTATCAAGCTGAAAAAAGACAAGATTAAACAATGTACGTACAAAACTATTTACAATCAAACGGCATACACAGCGATTAAACACATGTAACAGACGTAATAACAAACATTCAGAACACACAACTTAGACAAAAACCACGACAGAACATTTTTAAAAGGGTCTTTAAAGGTCTGTTAAGGTCTTTACAGCATTGCTGCTGCAACAAAACAGTGTTTTATAACAGAAGGTAGAAGATAGAAAGGTAGATAGATAATTACTTTATTTATACCATATACCAGGGGTGCCCAATACGTTGATTGCTATCTAACAGTCGATCGCCAAGGCAGTGTGTGTAGATCGTAGTGTCTTAGTACTCAAGACCGGTCTTAGTCTCAAGACTGTTTTTTTACGGTCCTGGTCTCATCTCAGACTCGACCGTGTTTGGACTCAGTATTGGTCTTGTCTCAGACTCGAGGTCTGACACTTGATGAGTATGATATATTTCATTATGGCCACTGCTGTCTGCAATAATCTTGTACCGGTGTGCGGGACCGTGCGGGGCTTCTCACTGCAGCTTGTGCGCTGGTTTGGACCCCGCGGACATTGTGTGGCACATCACCAAATGCTCCCAGTGCGCGGATTATCTGCAACAGCGTGTACACTTCCTTACCAGTGTGTAAACTTTTTAAAACATCATAAAAGTGCACAAATACATTTGCATTTGTCACGATGTGCATTTGGTAAATGTGCGATGCTAGTATATGGAGAATGCAACTTCAGTTAGGAACTTGAAAAAACAGGTTGAAAAAATACAGTACAGTTTGCTTGGCTTATTTTAATCTTAAATTAATATTTAGCAGATAAAATGGAAATAGATCTATAAAAACTTATTTATGTGAGTCAGCCTTTTCCCACATCCACCATGACTGATTCTCAATATATTTATAGATAAATGATTTGCATTTTTGTGGTGGGTAGATCATTTTATAAGTATCTTGCATGCTGAAAAAGTGTGAGCACCCCTGCCATATACGGACCTATTCATTTGCAGTTATTTTGTTGTTGTTGTTGTTGTGCCCAAACACTTTTAGTGCTGACAGAGCTGTACCCTGTAACTGGTGTTTTCAGACAACCTTCTTTCACCTTAATTCCTCTATCTAGGATCACCTGTGATGCTTTGCTTTAGCTAGTCCACCATTGCCAGTTTCTGACACACAGTTACTGCCTGTTTCGTCAACTGGTTGGAGAGAGAATGCGGAGAGGTACAAGTCTAGACAGACAGATGGTGTGACCTGAGTCTGGTTGGTGCTGTGTGTTATTCATGATGTGTGCATTGAGTTAGCTGCATGTTGCACAGGAGGGCAGACCCAGAGCACAAAAGCATGTCATGGCTGCTCACCCACTCCCTCTTCCTTCATTAGGTTCTCAGAGAGGGAGGCCATTGGGAGAGCCAGTGTGTGTGTAATTATAGAAATTCTCCACTACAGAGCTACTTTCTCCTGCCCTTGCACTTATAGTCACATGCACCACCTTCACCTGATTTCACCCCAGCGCTCCCAACATATACAGACAACCTGAGATTATGTTGTCAAGGTGCTGTTTTGTTCTTATATCTAAAAACAACAACAATCTGAGTCAGTTCAAGAGTAATGTGATTAAATCTGGAAGGGCAGTGTTGCATTGCATTTATTCAATCACTGTTTGTTTTGACATAATATCGTCTTACATCTACTGCTGCTGGAAGCATTAGCCAGCATAAAGGTCAGAAAAAAATGTCACAAAAATCATAAATTTAATGATTTAATGTCATAAACTGCACTGGGGAGTTTCTCGGTTCTTGCTTTACTTACAGGAATACAAAGAAACAACTATGGACATTGTTATTCAGCATGTTAAAGATGTACTGCTCAACTTTTCTGATGGATGGTTTGCCACCTGCTTGTCTCTGTGCAGATGTTATTATTATTTTTTGCCTACACTGTTCCACACTATTGCATTAAACTTAACTATTGCCATGGAAACAAGAAAGTGATGCCACCAGATTAGGTTTCAAGTCAGAATGCATGGTGTTTTCAAGGTAAGATTAAAGTTAAATGCCATACTGTAGAACATTCCAGTCAATGGCATAACCTCTCCATATCAGTAGGCACAAGGCAGACACTCCACTGGAAAAGTTACACAGTGCACCTTTAAAAAGACACTACAAATAACATGCAACCTACAGTAATTTCTTGCAGAACAAAAATATCAATATGGACATCACTGTTTACAATATGTTAGATAACCCTCAAGCCCGCAGTTGCATGCGTCCCTACATCAGGCACTGCATTATAGACCCTCTTCAAAGTAGCTATTTTGCTTCATAATACACTTAATATAAGTAGGTGCATTTTCTGATCACAAGAGTGGTCTGGCCCTTCACAGTGAGGGCGCACTGTAGCGAGGAGGAAAAAGACGGAGGTAATATTCAAGGGAGTATAATAAAATCTTATGTATGTAGATCCATGATTATATCTAATCGGATGAGCTGAGATTTGTTGCCAAAAATAACGAGTCAAATCTTTTTGGGTCCCAAAAGTAGGACATGTCCAGAAAAAAGACAACATCTGCATATTAGGGAGTAAAGGAACTGTATTAAAATTGGTAAAACAGTTGTGAAATTGCACAAATATTATATTTTAGGATTATTAATTTTGAATACATTAACGTTATTATTTTATGAAAGATTAAACTCTACACAGTGTTTGGCCCTCTGCCTGTGTGCGCCTGGTCCCCACTGCTCCCTTATCTCCTGACTGACAGCCCTTTTTGAAGCTTCAGCCCAATCAGCTAATTGTTCATTCGCTCAGACTCAGAAACGCGATCTGCCGCTTGCATTTGCATAAATCACTCATTTGAGTGCGCCTAAATCCACCACAACGCTGCTTTGATTCTTTTCATTTTGTTCAGCGTTAGTACCACCCATCGCTCTACACAAAAAGCCCTTCTTTTCGCCACCAAAGGGATAAAAATGAAGAATTGTTGCGGTATCTTTCATGCCGCGTTGTGCTTTGAGGGTTGCACTGTCAGTCATGGTGACAGATATTGTTTCCTCTTGTTTTGGTTTAAGATTTGAGGTTAAAAAACAGAATAGACACAGGAGGGGATGTCTTCTTGTATTGAATTGATTTTGAGAGCCTGTGATTAGCTGTGATTTGTGTACAATTAAATGCTGAAGAGGAAGCTGGATAATAGCCCATTGGGGTTATACTACTGAAAGAATAGTGATGTAAAAACAAAAGAGGTTTGATTCAGGTAGGTTTCCGTCTTTTTCCTCTTCTCTTTCTCACAGAAAATTCAGAACCACAGCATCTGCCGGGACATCTTTAGGACAGGGGACACCATAAACCCTCCTGCCATTTTTAGGCCACTCTGCCCACTCATGTATGACTCTACCCCCCGGCGTCTCTGACTTATGCGGAAAAGAGGGCATTTAAAGCCACATTTTAGGTTTAAAAATAGGATTTCACTTAAGTCAAGCTAGGTAATGGGCAAAGTGTTTATTCTAGTGCAGTTATACATTTAAAAACACTTTTCAAGCACTTTTCTAAGTAGTTCAGACCTCAATTTGAACACCAGATGCTAGACTGTGATACATGATTTAGTCAGGAAAGTAAATCAAAATGTTTGTGGATATTTTAGATATTTATAGGGATGGGACAAGGCACGAATATTTATTCAGTTCCTTTTAATTGTTGTATGTTGAAACCTACTTTTGAAACCTACTTCTATTACACACTGACTTGAGATAACTTGCTGTCAATCACGTCTGCCTGGTTTTCCACATATATTTCAACAGTTTTCAAGCAAAAACTAGAATAATTATATGCAAGCTTCAAAAACGTTCTGCCACTGCAATGCATTTCTGGTCAAAGTCATTGCCTTAAGTTTGGCTTTAAGTTATATTCTTTGATAGCACAAATGAACGTGAACATACTGCTGTTAAATATTGTTATGTACTTCAGAAAAGTCTAGTTTGTTGAGTCTTTGGGAAAGCCTTGCAGCCCCCTATCCCCTGCTGTGTGGTATTTTGTAGCACTGGTCTCTGACAGAGGAGCACAGTGGGAGAGAGTAGTAAATGACAGAAAACCAGCTGTTAAAGACCCCTATGCAAATGTAGCTGATGTATTTAAAGAAGACATTATGCTTTCTTATGGCATATTAAACTATATGTGGACCACTATTCCACATGTATTTCTTTAAACAGCAATATTTATCTAAAAAACTGCACAACTGTG